CTCCTAGGCGCGGGCTGGCAGTCCCAGCCCATCACACCCGAACAGCAGCGGGTGTGGGCGGCTTTGCCTGCAGGAAGGTCTTTCTGACTCTGACCTTGGATGACCCGACTGTCCCTGGAGTCCTGGCTGCCTGGCCCCTGAGCCTGGGACTCGCCTGCTCTGATGCCTAAGGCTGGCCGGGATGCCGGTGGGGCGGGGGATGGTGGGGTTGCGAGGATGAGGATGGACAGTTCCCAGCCTAGGGCCTGTGGACCACCGGGCATGCCCAGCGCAAGGCACTGCCTCCCCACCTGGCCCCATAGGCTGTGCCCACCCTGGCGTGGCATCCAGCAAGTGCTCAATGCATGCAGGCTGAATGAAACCAGGGCTGACGAGGGGGGCTACCCTCCAGCCCTGCACTGACTGTCTCGGGAAGTGGCCAGTTGGTGGCCCTCTGCCCTCAGACCGCCCCACCTGTGCTGAGGGGCACAGTGCTCAGAGGGATGGCCAGATCCAGGTTCAATGTCCCCCTGCCCCGACCATGTGACTCGGGCCACTCTTTCTGTCCCCTCTGATAGCACCACTCAACAGAAGCCTCAGGTCAGCCACAGTCACAAGTTTCAAGTCTGAAATTTTCCACTAGTCAAAAGTGAAAATAACCAGGTAAACCTAATTTTGGTAATGTATTTTATTTAGCCAATATATCCAAAACCTGATTCCAATATGTAGTCAGTGTAAGGACCATTAAAAGGGCGTTTTGCTTTTTGGCGAGTGTTCAGAATCCCTCCTGCATCTCGCACTCACGGAACCTCTCGGTTTGCACACGTGCCACCGTGCACAGCGCAGCCCTTAGGCCCCGCCCCCCGGGAAGGCTGGGCCTGGCGTGCGCACCCTCTGCAGGGCCGTGGGTGCACGAGGCCCGGAGTTGCCCTCTCTCCCACGGGCCCCTCGCCTCTCAGATGCCCCAGGTGAGTCACTGCACCCCTTCGGACCGTCTGGTGGCCGACAGCCCTCGCTGAGCCCGTGAGCACACTCCCTGTGCCGAGCTCACCACAGAGCAAATGCGGGCAGGTGGCACTGCACCTGTGCCCGGGGCCGCTCACTGAGCCTGGTCATGGTGGGGTGGGGCTGGGCCCCACTCAAGGACACACAGCTCCAACCTGAGCCAGTGGGTCCCAGCGGGCTCCAGGCTGAGACTGGGGTGGGCAGCGGCTAGAGGGCGCCAGCATGCAGACGGAAGGCCCTGGTCTGCTCGGAACCTTCCAGAAGCCTCCCCCTGCCCCTTCAGCCCCAGGCCTCGCCACCTCCCGTTAGCCCTGGAAGCTCCTGTGGTTCCTGGAAAATCTCAGGAAAATCCCGGCTTTCTGGGCCCCAAGTTCTGGTGCAAATGGATCCCTCTTCCCGGAGCCGTCCCTGTGCCCACCTCCGGGTGGGCCTGGGTCCCGCCCTCAGGGAAGCCCTTGCTGACTGTCCGGATTCGATCGTGGAGCCAGTTAGAAACTCCCTGCCTTGCTCAGGGGGGGTTGGGGGCCACGTTCCCAACACTTTCCTGGAACACATCTTCTCCCGACCTCGTGTGTCCCTGTCTGCACCCCCATGGCAGAAGACTGCCTAGCCGGGCAACCTGCTCCCCCCAAGCTCGCTTCCGGTCAGTAGCAGAGGCAGCTTAGGAGGGGCCTGGGCCACAAGCCTCCCTTCGTACGTGAGGAAACAGGCCAGGGACAGGCTCAGGTGGCCAGAGAGGGACACCATGCTGATGGCCTGGTGTGGGAAGCAGCAAAGCAACTGGCACCAAGAGGCCGGGGCACAGCCAGCACAGGGTTCCCCTATGCAACACCCATCTAACAAGCAGGAGTGAGCGCCCCATCCCTGGAGGCAGACAAACAACCTGGCCAGGTGCTGGAAAGAGGATTGCAACTTTGCACGGGGGTCAATTTGCCCTGTTGAGGGGTTTCCTCTCAGCCCTCGAGAGTTAGGCAGGGCCAAGGTCACAGGCGAGGCCTGGAGGGGCTGCCCCACCCACTCAGGCCATCCCCCTCTCGCGGCCAATCATTAATTGGCGCCGCTTGAGTGGCTGCTCCCACGAGTGCCCCCGGCTGCCTGCCAGCTCATGGCCCGGCTCCCGTCCCGTGCCCGGGGCACCCAGCACACCTGCCCGGCCCCACTTCCTGCTCGTGACTCCTGCAGCTGAGCCCGGGAGCAGCAAGGTGCCTTCTCAGACCACCGTCAGAGCGCCCGCGGGATTCCTGCCGCCCGCCTCCCCCGCGGCCAGAGCCCTGCTGGCTGAGAGCAGCGAGGACCTGGGGGGCTGCAGGCAGGACAGGGAGACCCCAGGCCGGGCTGGAGAAAGCCCACCCACCGGCAGGCAGGGCGCAGGGGGAGCCTGGAGGCAGGCCCAGAAGCACCGGGATGTGGCCGTGGCCTGGCAGTGGACAAGGGAGAGCTGAGGAAGGGGTGAAAACAGCGTCCCCCCAGTGGGGACATCGGACGTGAACAAGCAGAGGCGGGGAGCCTCTCAGGCTGAGAAACAGCAGGACCCAAGTCCTGGAGGTGGGACGGGCCCTGCGTGCTCAGGGAAGAGAGAGGAGCCGGATACAGAGGGAAGCGGGGGTGAGAGGTGGCTACTCAGATTCCAGGCTAAGGAGTTAACTTTATTTGGGGGCAACAGGGAGCTATTGCAGGTTTTGGAGGAAGGGAGTGACATGGCATGGCTTCTGTTTAACCCAGTAAGGGGCTGGTAGGGGGAGGAGGCGGTGAGAGCTGCCAAGGAGAGGGACAGAGAAGCAGGCCCTGCAGTGGACATGGAGCAGGGGGTGGACGGGGAAGTGGCAGAGGTTTCTGCCGAGACAACAGCATTGTCAGGCCGGGGAACGCTGGGGACGGAGACTGGAGTAGCAAGGTGCCGAGGGTGTCAGGCCAGAGGTCCCCAGGGGTCCCGTGGGGCAGAGGGAGCCCCTGCTGTCGGGGCAGGCAGGAGAGAGAGGGGCCGGGCACGCCCCAGGAACCGACACTCCCCAGCTAGGGCCCCGAAGCCAAGGAAGGGGGGACAGCGGGCAGCACGAAGGCCACTGCTGGCCTGGACAAGGAGCCGTGGAGGCCATCACGGGTGCCAGAGGGGGCAGCAGGCGTGGACAGCACTGCCGAAAAGCTGGCCTCCGGGTGCTCGCGGGGGTCTGGGGCCCCTAGAAGCAGAGCCTGAGACGGACGCTGCACTCGCAGGAGGGAGGGAGCCACCACGTCCCTCACCCCAACTCTCGGGGCCCCAAATAAAGTCCAAGCTGCCACCCCTCTGTCCGGGCACAGGATGACCCGCACAGCGAGGCAGGGAGGAGTGCCAGCAGGGGCGGCGGACGGCTGTCCAAACCAAGTGACCGCCGGAGACCCCGGGGTCTCAGGCAGGTGGGCGCCTGGCACAAAGCCGCCCGTGCAGTGCCCTGCCCACGGGGTGGACGGGCGGCCCCGCCTGCGCGGCTGGCACCTGGAGGGAGGGAGCTGCGCCTGGGTGGTGGGCCCCAGGGAGGGGCGGTGCCACCCACAGGCTGCTCACCACAAAGGGGCCCCCGGGGGCTTTCCCCTGCGCCACCCCTGCCAGCGCTCCAAGCCCTGGCCCGAGTCCCGGCAGCTGCAGCCCGTTCATCGGGCCCAGGCTTCTCAGCCCTCTGGATCAGAGGGACGGGCTGTGCCCTCGGGCTGGGCACCCCTGCGCGCCTGGCGCCCTGCCCAAGCCGCCACGCCCCCCGACCCTCACGGCGGCCTGGAGGGCAGGTCCGTCACCATCCCCACCCTCGTGCATTCCACGGCTGTTTACCGAGCACCGCGGCACGCAGGCACGGGCGACCCAGGTGAGGACCTGCTGGCTCAGAGCTCACGTCACGAATGAGGAAACTGAGGCCCCGTGCAGCCTGAGGGATGTGCCCAAGGTCACTCACTCAGCTGCATTCAAATCCAGGTCAGGCTCCAAAACTCACTTTTTGTTTTTCTAAGAGACTCAGTCTTGCTCTGTGGCCCAGGCCGGCGGCAGCGGTGCAACCACGGCTCACAGCAGCCTCAAACTCCTGGGCTACAGCGATCCCCCCACCTCGGCCCCCCAAGTAGCTGGGACCACAGGTGCCCACTGCTGCGCCCAGCTAATTTTTCTTATTTTTTATAGAGACAGAATCTCACTATATGGCCCAGGCTGGTCTCAAACTCCTAGCTTCAAGGGATCCTCCTGCCTTGGCCTCCCAGAGTGTTGAGATTACAAGGAGGGGCCGTCATGGTCTGCCCAAACTCACTTTGTTATTTGAGCTCTTCTCTGGGCATTGGCCCCCTTATCCGTCAAAGGGGCACAATGAGGCCTATCCCCAGGGCTGTGAGGATGGGGGTTGGGGGGTGAGTGGCCCCCAGGACTGTGCACAGTGAGCAGGGACCCTGCCACCCCCACGTGGCGTGTTTTGGAGACGGTGCGGCGCCCAGCCCGGCCCACAGCGGCACCCACCCTGCCCTCCAGCCCTCACATTCACCGAGGCTCCCTCTGTCATGCTGTCCCCGCTGCCTGGAAGATGTTCCCCTCAGGGAAGCATGACAACCGTCACACAGCACTTCCTGGGGGCCAGGCACCGTTCTCATCGAGCCCCAGCAACCTCGAGCAGGAAATACTGCTTTCATTCCCATTTCCCAGCTACGGAAACGGAGGCACAGAGACGAAGCAGCGTGCTGAGTCTGCACGGCCGCTGAGCAGAGTGGTGCGTGCCCCTCACCCCTGCGCACTGCTGCCCCGCCCACCACCAGCCTGCGGGGTCAGGCCTGAGTCAGGCACTCCGGGCCCCACGGCCCAGAGCAAGGACCCCCGTCGTGAACACGGCCGGCTCCCGCCGAGGTCCCCTCTGCCCCGGACGCGCAGTGTCCCTGAGGGCTGGGGGGCGTGCGAAGGGCTGGGGGACGGCCGCTGAGGGCAAAGAAATCGGCCGTCGGGAGGCCGGCGGTCGGCAGGTGGGTGTCCTGGCCCCGGCCCTGGCCCCGTGGCCCGGAGTCGCCCTTACCTACTCGGAGCTCTTGCCCGAAGACGGTCCTCTCGCCGAGGGCGGAGCAGTTCCAGCGCCCGAAGCGGAACTGGTGCTGGCACTCGTTGATGCCCATCTGCGCCCCCTCCCCGACCACGATGATGGCATCGGGCCGGCTCTGGCAGATGGCGCGCTGCCGCGGGGCCAAGCCGGGGATCTTGTTGCAGATGATGTTGGCTCCCAGGGCCACCACGGACGACAGCGCTCTGCGAGGCAGGGAGAGGAGACACAGGCCGTGAGATCGGGCAGCGTGGCACCCTCCCCGGCCCCCCCCAGCTCAGCCTCCCAGCCCCCAGCCTCAAACCAAGCTCTGCCCAGCAGGGAACACTGCCATCCCGCCCTCGAGGGGCCGTTTTCCATCAACCCATGCTCGGGGTCCCAGTGCGAGAAGGCGCACACCCCACCCCCTCAGCCTGGGGACGCAAGAACCACGGAACCACAGGTCCCACGGATGCAGGAGCCACGGCTCCCAAGCCTCTGAGTCAGACACGCAGACGCTTCAGGGCAGAGAGCATCTCCTGAGACCAAACAGCCAGCGATCCCGGACGGTCCACGGCCGTCTCCCCAGCGACCGGGCTCTCCCGTCACCCAGGTGATGGTCTGTGGTCTACCCCGGTCCTCCGACACCCCTCTCCCCGCACGGCACCCGGGCCCAGCAGGCTGGGAGCCAACCCCACAGGAGCTGACTCCAGCTCCAGCCCCGTGTGACCCAGGGAAGGCCCTCCCCCCGTGAGCCTCAGTTTCCGCATCCATGAAACGGGTATAAGACACCTGCTGTCCCCCCTCCCACCACCACACAGACTCAGATAACCACGGGGAGGAAGGCTGCACGCCCAGGGACAGCTGTGCGGCTCTCCCTCCTTTCGGGGTGACGGGGCACACTCACAGGAGGAAACAGCACCCACACTGCGCTGGGCGCCAGGGAGAATGGCCCGCCTCCCGGGTCCCCTGAGGGCGCCTCCTTCAGCCAGGAAGCCACATGCCAAGCTCACCCTCCACTTGAGGTGTTGTCAACGAGATCCGTTGTTTGTTTGTTTAATGAGGCGAAATTCACATAACACAGAATGACCGTTTTAAAGAATGCCGCTCCGTGGCATCAGCAAGTCAGTGCTGTGCGACCCCCGCCTCTGTCAAGTTCCAAGGTATTCTCACCGCCCCAAAAGGAAACTCTGCCCCCAGAAGCCCCACTCCCCGTCCTCCCCCTGCCCCAGGCCTGGCCACCACCTATCTGCTTCCCGTTCCTACAGACTTGCTTATTCTAGACATGTCATACAGATGGGCCCAGACAATATGTGACCTCTTGTGTCTGGGCTTCCTTCATTTAGCAAAATGCTTTCAAGGGTCCCCACGGCATGGCACATGCCGGTGCTTCGCTCCTCTTTACGGCTGAGTAATATTCCATTGTGTGGACGGAAACATTCTGTCCACCGTCCATCACTCGTGGGCATCCGGGCTATTGTGGCTGCAGTGAGTCACGCTGCCATGAACTTGCGTGCACAGGTTTTTGTTCCAGGACCTGTTTCCAGTCTTTTCCCCACAGACCTGGGGTGGAACCGCTGGGTCATACGGAGATTCTTTAACTTTTTGAGCAGTTGCCAACTCCTCTCTGACGTGGCTGCACCGACTGTCTGGCGTTAAGCACCCACAGAAGGAATAGCAAGCTGGGGGGGGGGCCGCTTTCGGGCAAAACTCGGGCAGCATTTGGGTTCAAAACAGCAGACCAGGCCTGCTTAGGGACGGGGCGAGGGGCAGGAGCGGGGGCTCCCCAAAGCTGACGCTTGAGGCTCTGGGCCCCCAGTACGGGTGCGGCCCTCTTTCTACCCACGGCCAGCCGGCCCCTTTCTCAAGGGAAACAAGCCAGTGTTTTTCCAGGGCGGCCGAGCACCCAACGCCAGCTGGAAAGTCCCCGTGTGGCCTGAGCCCGCAGCACGTGCTGCCGCCGGGCGCCCCGGCCGACACCCAATCCCCACGGCCCGCCCGGCCCGCCCGCTAATCTGCCAAGACCTCCCTGGGTCTCCCACGGGCACAATGGGCAGAGACGCCCCGGGCCGGCGTGGAGGAAGCGCATCTGGACGGGTGGGGCTGGGAGCGGGCTGGAATCTGGGGAATTCAGCCCAGAGTAATTGTAGATCCTCGGAAAACCGAGCTGGGGAAATGAGATGGATGGGAACCCTGCGGGGCACCGGCCTCCACAGCGGGCAGGGCCCTGTGGGTCCTGGACCTCAGGGACGCGCCCCAGGCCCGGATTCTCCCAGCAGGCTCGGGCTGCCAAGCCCCCACGGCCCGCAGGAGCAGCCCCTGCTGGGCAGGACCGGACACACTGGGCCTCACCGGGACTCGTGCACTCAGACGGGAGCCTGGGGGCGGGAGTGGATTGTGGCACTGGCCGCAGCCCTGGTTTCTCGCCTCCAGGCAGCCCCCCAACCCCAACCCCACTGGCAGCCCCATCTGACCACAGGCCCCCATTGCCCACGAGACGATCCAAGCTCCTCTGCCTAGAATTAGAGGCCTCCTGGCCTCCAAGGACCCCTCCGCTTCCTTGTGCCCACAGGCCCCTCTGGGTCTGCCCTCCCCCCTTCGGCTGGCATCCTCCACCTGCCCGCCCGGCCCTGGTGAAATGCCACTGTGCTCCAACCCCTCGGCCCTGGCACGGAGCAGGCACGCCGTGGGCACTCGCTTTGCAAGTGCAGAACTGTCCCAAGGCCCCACAGTCACTGTCTCCACGCCGGCTCCCCCTACAGCATAGTGCCACGCCTGAGCTCAGTGGGGCCCCCGGGGCTGCGTGGGGCAGCCATCCCGAGTGTCCGTGGATAGGATGAATGAAAAAAACGGAAGAGCCAATGCTTGAGAATCAAATGTGAAAGAACTCCTGCAACTCAGCAGCGAAAAGACAAACAACCCGATTCTAAAGCGGGCAAGGGACTTTGTATAGACACTTCTCCAAAGAAGATACACAAATGGCCAAGGAGCTCATTGAAAGAGGCTCAAGCTCACTACTCTACTCGCCACGAGGAAAACACAGCTCAAAACCACAATGAGAGGCCAATTCACACCCGCCAGGACGGCTATGGGGAAAACAACAGCAGCAGAGAGTAACAAGTGCTGAGGACGTGCAGAAACTGGAACCCTCGTACGCTGCCGGCGGGGACTTAAAGTGGTGCAGCCCCCCGTGGACAACAGCTGGGCGGTCCTTCCTTCGCTAAGTCACACACAGAGTTACCCGGCAGCTTCACCCTTGGCGTACCTCAAAGCAACCGAAGACGGGTGTTTGAACAAGAACTGGTACGCGAATGTTCACAGGCGCACTACTCATAATAACCAGGGGTAGACACAAACGCAAATGTCCCTCGACGGATGAACGCATAAGCCGAGTACCAGCCACGCAACGGATAGTATTTGGCCGTAAAAAGGGAGGAGGCACTGATTCCCGCCGCCGCGTGCGGGAAACTCCGGAGCACGACGCTCAGCAAAAGACGCCAGGCCCCCCGACCACACAGGGCGTCTCCCAATTCCACGTGCGTGAGCGCTCCAGAACAGGCAAATCCTCGGGGACAGGAAACAGAACAGCGGTTGCAGGAGCTGGGGGGAGGGACCGGGAGTGACCGGCCACTCAGCAGGTGTGAATTTCCAGCAGTGGCAGTCACACAACAGTGTGAATGGGCTCAATGCCACCGAACTATACGCTATAAAATGCTTACAGTGGCAAATTTTATTTTATGTGTATGTTAGCCACAATATTAAACAATCACATCTACACACAGGACCACCCTGAACCCCCCAGTGTAGCGTGGGACCAGGGAAAAGTGGGCTAGAGGGCCACGGTCCCGCATGCTCACCAGGACACGTGGGGCTGACGGGGCAGGGACGGGCCCGGCCTCGCCCCCGAGCGCCCGTGCAGGGGGTGGAGGCGAAGGCAAGGGGAACAGTGGGGAACAGGGTCACGCTGATGCGCAAATATCCCGACCTGGTTGACAACTCAGGAATAATGCCAACATCGTCTCCCTTACCATGCGGGGGGTTTCCACCAGCCGTGGCGGAGGGCCAGCTCCGGGCAACCTGGACCTCTTGGGAGACTGGCGTGATCCTCACCACACAAGGTACGCTGCGCCGCCCCCATCCTGCAGGTGCGGGTGCGGGACGGGGGGCCGGGGCCCTGCCGGTGGCCGCACGGACAGGCTCAGCCAGTCTCTGCTCCCAGGACGCAGGTGGAGGCAGCACTGTGGATCAGGGAGCCACACACCGCGGGTGGCCAGCACAGCCCGGGCATGGCGGGGCAGGCACAGGGCCCCCTTCTTACTCCCCAAACAGCCAAGCCCTTCCCTCGTCAAGACCTGTCACGCCGAGCGTTAATTTGTTCCGGGTCCACAGGCCTCCGCGACCCTCCTTGTCACCATCCAGTCTGACCACTGCCCTCCCGTGACACCCTTCCGCCTGGAGGGGAGGCAGCTGCAGACGGGGCGGCTGGGGCGGGAGGGGCGCAGAAACGCAGAGTGAGGAAACAGGCGGCGCTGTGTGGGGGCCAGACGGGCAGCAGGGGCAGCCCTGAGACCACCAGCTGGGAGTGAGGGCCTGTGGGGTGGTCCCCGCTTTCACCCCAAAGTGGGAAACCCTCTGGGCCGGCGTGGTGGCCCTCAGCCGCCTGCCCCGGTGCCCCGAGGGGGTGGCCAAGGAGGCCCTGCACGGCCTGAGCACAGAGGAGCTGGGCCGGGGCGTTTCAGGTGCTGAGCTTTTCGGTGGAAAATTCTGTTCTGATCGAGGCCTCAGGGCACAGGCAAGATGCCAGGAGGGTTGGGCCGAGCCGCAGGTCTGGAAACTGTCCTTGCCCCTGCCCGGGCCAGTGCCCCGCAGGGCGCTCGCAGGAGAAGGGTTCGTTCCTCAGACAAGAAGCCCCTGCCTGTCCCCCAGGGACTGTGGACAAGGCCCTCTAGCCTCAGGCCAGCGGCCAGCAGAGGGCTGGGAGCGACGGACTCACGGCCATGGGCCCTGGCTCTGTGCAGGGGGCTGCCGCTGGAGGAGGGACGGTCCTGCCAGCTGCTGAGCAGCCCCGAGGGGAGGGGGCTGCCTCTAGGACGAGGGGCTCGAGGGCAGCCGAGGGCAGGTGAGGACGAGGGGAGCAGAGGTGGCCAGGAGCAAGTCCTGTGCTGTGGCATTCGCCAGGCCCCCCTGCAGCCTGGAGCCAGGGGCAGGGCCCTGAGTCTGCCTCTTC